AGTGGAGCTGTGGCTCAAATGGTAGTGCACTAACCTTGAACAAAAAAACCTCAGGGACAAGACCCAGGCCATGAGTTTAAGTCCAGGATTGATCATCAATACTACTACTAATAATAATAATAATAACAACAACATGTGATTTTACTTTTTGACTATGCCTGGTCAAAACCATATGTTATAAATGCATGAATAAGGTGAGCATACTGTAATTTGACCTTAAAGACCTTAACCAAAGAGAAGTTTCCTGTAAGCACAGAGGAAAAAAATGAGGTTATCAAGTAGAAAGCAGATAGGACTTCCAAAGAAGAAAACCATGAGCTCAAATATGTCCTCTTGGTGGTCCTTTTTATCTAACTCATACACAGTCACAAGCCATATAGAGATATTTCACATAACAATGGACCATATATATGATGGTAGTCTCATAAGTGTATCATCTAGTGACATCCTAGCCATCTTTGTACAAGTATACTACATGATGATGCTCACAAGACAGCACGGCCAGGATTCATTCATTTCTCATTGTTAAGAGACACATGACTACTTTAATATAGCTGAAGGCAAAGCAATGAGAAAATAATCTGTGTCCCCTGGGTGCTGTGGTTCTGGAACTGTTTCCTAGGGTAGAAGTCTCTGGTTAGTCAGGTGTGCTATTCAGCTCATCTTGAGCCCTTGCCCACAGCATTCCTAAGTGATTTCTGCCTGTGCTACTGCTCACCAGGACCAATGGATATTACCCAGGTAACATCATTGAGCCCAAGCTGACACTCGCCTCTCTCTCCCGATTCAATGGTCATTCTAGTCACCTTGCATTTTCAACTATCATGCTTTTTATTGAAATCATTATATACCTATCAAAGGGAAAATAATCGGGTGAATATAAGAAAATTTAGTCAAGTGGTTGATTAGCGTGATGTTTGTAATGTTTAAATTTTATTTTACTCTTCCATAATTTTCAAACATAGTAAATGTCAAATGACTAACAACTCGAAAGCAACTCCTGCTTGAAGGACCTGTTGCCAAGCTAAATGAAGCCTGCACCCTTGAGCTGAAGATAAGTTAGCAGCTAGCCTGTGTGGATATTCCTATGTGCATCCTTCAGCCCATCTTCCAGGAACATTTCTTAATAATCCTCCTCCACTTTACAAATGATCACAGGCTCCAAGACATTCAGTAATGAAACCATCAGTTTATAGGAGCTATTGGGATTGAGGACTGGACTTACTGACCCTACTAGGTGCTTAGCATTTCTCAGAGATGACTGAAGGATGAGGTTAGTACCATTCTTCTGTGAAATATTTAACATCTACATTGGAAAAATCATAAACTCAAACAGGTTTGAGAGAATCATCCTCCATGAAGTCCAGGTTACTGATATTTATCTCTCCTTCCCTAAGCAAACAAACAGGTGTTAATTGGAGAGGGAATATTGAGGACTTTGCTGCCTAGGCTAGCTTCAAGCCAAGATCCTTTGAATTTCAGCCTGAGCAGCCAGGATTACCTGTGTGAGCCACTGACATCTGGGGGTAAATAATGATCTTCACTAGGCAAAAGTAAGAGCACAGCTGATGTCAGAATAGATGCAAAAGGGTGAGAGCAAAGTGGGTAAAGAGAAAAGGTACTGATTGTCTACCTCATAGCGCATGAGGTACCCTCCAGTCTTGAATAAATACCTTGTAGACACTTAAATATATTGTTAAAATTGCAATGGTGCTCAATTTTTTTTCAAAAAGACTGTTAAGAGCAGACTAGTGAGGTAGAATAGAGCATGCTAGCCTATCATCTTTTCTGTCGTGAGGCCAATAGATATTGTCTAAAGTAAGTAAATGAAGAAATGAGATGCAGTCCTAGCTACTTGGGAGGCTGAGATCTGAGGATTGTGATCCAAAGCCAGCCTAGCTAGGAAAGTCTTGAGACTCTTATCTCCAATTAAACACTGAAAAGTTGAAGTGGAACTGTGGCTCAAGCAAGTGGTGTGTGGAAAAGCTAAGGGATGCTGTGTAGGCCCTAAGTTCAAGCCCAAGTACCAGCACAGAAAAAAAAGGAAAGAAAAGAAATAAGAGGCAAGCTAATCAGTCAGAAAATAGGCCAAGAGGTCACCTCTGAGGGGTGATGGTAAAGATGAAGATAAAAAAAAAAAAGAGAGAGAGAGAGAGCCGGGCGCTGGTGGCTCACGCCTGTAATCCTAGCTACTCAGGAGGCTGAGATCTGAGGATCGCGGTTCAAAGCCAGCCTGGGCAGGAGAGACCGTGAGACTTCTATCTCCAATAAACCACCAGAAAACCGGAAGTGGCGCTGTAGCTCAAGTGGTAGAGCGCTCGCCTTGAGCTGAAGAGCTGAGGGACAGCGCCCAGGCCCAGAGTTCAAGCCCCACGACCGACAAAAAAAAAAAAAGAGAGAGCGAAAAAGAAATCCAAACATTCCAATGAAAATGAAGGCAGGACTAAATACCATGAATGTACTTGTGGAAATATAATTGTGATTGTTTGAAAACTTGATAGAATTTGACATAGATTTCTGCATTCTCTTCCCTGCCCCCTCTCTCATATGATGGGGGCCCAGCCTCCCAGGCAAGGGCCTAGTAGGGAGAGGACAAGAGACCTGGAGGTGCAAGAGGAATACCCAACACATCTTTGTTGCCTTTGGATGTACCTGGAGCTTCTTTCTACACACCCCTTACCACCTGCTGCAATTGTGTGCTCCTTCCTAGCTAAGGTTTCTGGCTGAGTGACTGAGGGTTCTGGGGCAGCACTGGTCAGGGTGTTGGATTAGCCTTCCTGGCTGCCCGGCATGACCAGTTATAATAGAGAGGTGGGAGAGAAAAAGACTTCAAACATTCTTACTTCACCTGCAGGCAGATGTAGTGCCATGCAAATGTGTATGTGTGCATGTTTACATCACATGCATCAGGCAGGATCCATTGTACTACTCTAATTGGTTTACCTCAGGCCTCAGATGATAACAGTGCCATTTTCTGAGAAGCCTCTACCATTCAAGCATAATAACATTGCTGTGATTCCCACAGCTGCTTGATATGCAGGCCTGATTGGTGTCTGTGTGTTCTGGATGAGCGAGTCCTACTGCAGAGATTAATCAATGAGCCAGAGAATGTCCAGGCCAGGATGGATAGATGAGGCAGATTACATTTCGCCACGCTCTGGCAATCTTACTACAGACTAGAGCTTACTGAACACCATTATGGCCACGTCTTTGAGAAAGATATCTCCCTTGTTGTGTTTCCAAGAACACTATTTGAGCTGCACTACAGTTTCCCAAAAAAATTACCACTAGGAGAAACTGGACACAGGAGCTAACATTTTTCATGTGAAGTTACACTTATCTAGAAATAGAGATTAAATAAATATGCTTAAATTTTTAAAAATTAAAACACACAAATACATGATGAAAATTTCCTGAGAGGGTAGAGCTTAAGTGTTCTTACCACACATGCACACACAAATCTTAAGGTGAAATGCATATTTTGGAAGGTGATGGGTATGTTTATGGCCTTGACAGTTAAGGTACATACTATCACCTGTGACCAGTGAGATGTAAATATGTAAAACTTTTTCATACCAGTCAACCCCCAAAAAACAGTTTTATTAAGCTAATTAGAAGCAGTATCAACTGACATTCATCTACTCAACAAGATCTACTGGGTAAGTCCTATCTATCAGGCACTGTCATAAGTGTTGGAGACAGAATAGAGAATCAAATAAGCAAAAGCCCCGCCCTGCCTGAGCTTCATTCTATAGGAAATTGCCCTGTCCAAGGCCCTGTTTGTCAGGCAGTTTAGGGGTGTGGGGGGAGATGGGAAGGGATGGGAAGGGTAAACAAAGGAGGAGGCAACAATGCTTGATAAGAAATGTACTCATTATCTTGCCCATGTAATTATAACTCCTCTATAGGTATTTTCACAATAAAAAAAAAGAAATCAAGTCACTGCATAAATGCTAATTATAAACTAACTTACTTCCTTAATCTTCTAAAAGATTAAGATTCCAAGGCTACTTGACAAGATTCAATGTTTGTGACCAAACTCCTAAATAATGACAGATAAATGAGTCATTGTTTCTACTCTACTATACTTCAGTATTTACCATAGATTGGTTCCCAGAACCTTGTAGAGGCCCAAACCCCTGAAGCTCAAGTCCCTCAGAGAAAATGTAAATAATTGTTGCTGGGTTTAGAGAATGACAATAAGAAAAATATATATATAACCTACACCTGCTGAGTTAAGAGGAGATGTTTTCTTCCAAATGTTTCCTATTCTGATTGGCTAAATATGGAGATGTGGAACCCATCAAGGAATGTCTGTTTGTACCTGTCAAATTGAAATGTGGGCTGAATTCGTTGAGTCTTACAAAATCTAACTCCCTTCTCTCTTGTACTCTAGCTCACTCTAGGCTACAGACAGTGTCTGTGTAAGAAGCTGAGAACGTCATAGGCTGCCACAGAGATGATCAGGATATGACTCATGAATCCAATATCCCAGCTAGTGCTTCCAAAGAAAGACTTCTCCCTATGGACACTGGCAACTGGTGCCTGTAACCCTAGCTATTCAGGAGGCTGAGATCTGAGAATCACAGTGTGAAGTTAACCTGGGCAGAAAAGCCCATGAGACTCTTATCTCTAATTAACCAGCAAAAAACTAAAAGTGGAGGTATAGCTCATGTAGTAGAGAGCTAGCCTTGAACAAATGAAAAGCTAAGGAAGAGTGTGGGGCCTTGAGTTCAAACACCAGCACTGGCATAAAAAAAGAAATAAGAAAGGAAAGAAGAAAGGAAGGGGGAAAAAAGAAAAAAAGGGAAGGAAGACAGCAAGACAGCAAGGAAGGAAGGAAGGAAGAAAGAAAGGCTTCTTCCATCAACTCCAAGGCCTTAGAGATCCTCGGACATCAAAGAAGAGATGTACCTGGCAGACAGAACACGAAAGCCACCCAAGCGCTGAGGGACACCCAATGCAGCCATTTCTGTCCCCGGTCCAAGTTTCTCTCCATGATGGCCTGTAACAGCACACCCACCAAGACTTACGAATATCTGCTGCTGAACGTGAGCAACGCTTCGGACTCCCAGCCCACCCCGCTGTCCACCCCGCTCAGGATCTCGTTGGCAATAATGATGATGATGATGATGGTGGTTGGATTTCTTGGCAACACGGTTGTCTGTATCATCGTGTACCAGAGACCCGCCATGCGCTCTGCCATCAACCTGCTGTTGGCCACCCTGGCCTTCTCAGATATCATGTTGTCCTTATGCTGCATGCCTTTTACCGCCATCACTCTTATCACTGTCCGCTGGCACTTTGGGGATCACTTTTGCCGCCTGTCCGCCACGCTCTATTGGTTTTTCGTCCTGGAGGGCGTGGCCATCCTGCTCATCATCAGCGTGGACCGCTTTCTCATCATCGTCCAGCGCCAGGACAAGCTGAACCCCCGCAGGGCCAAGGTGATCATCGCGGTGTCCTGGGTGCTGTCCTTCTGCATCTCGGTGCCCTCGCTCACAGGCTGGACGTTTGTGGAGGTGCCCGCGCGCGCGCCGCAGTGCGTCCTGGGTTACACCGAGTTTCCAGCCGACCGCGCCTACGTGGTGACGCTGGTGGTGGCCGTGTTCTTCGTGCCCTTCGGGGTCATGCTGTGTTCCTACATGTGCATTCTCAACACCGTGCGCAAGAACGCGGTCCGTGTGCACAACCAGTCCGACAGCCTGGACCTAAGGCAGCTCACCAGGGCCGGCCTGAGACGGCTGCACCCGCGCCGGCAACAGGTCAGTGTGGACTTGAGCTTCAAAACCAAGGCCTTCACCACCATCCTCATCCTCTTCGTGGGCTTCTCGCTCTGCTGGCTGCCACACTCCATCTACAGCCTCCTGTCTGTGTTCAGCCGGAGGTTTTACTACAGCTCCTCCTTCTACACCACCAGCACGTGCGTCCTGTGGCTCAGTTACCTCAAGTCGGTCTTCAACCCCATCGTTTACTGCTGGAGGATCAAGAAATTCCGCGAGGCCTGCCTGGAGTTGCTGCCCCAAACCTTCCAAATCCTTCCCAAAGTGCCTGAGCGGATCCAAAGGAGAATCCAGCCAAGCACAGTTTATGTGTGCAATGAAAACCAGTCTGCCGTGTAGCGGAGCAGGGTAGAGCCAGCCAGCCACCTGGTGGGTTCCAGATCCAAGCTGGGAGTTCCTGCACTTTAATTGTTGTCTCTCTTCTGTGTCTTTGTGTGTGTGTGTGTGTGTGTGTGTGTGTGTGTGTGTGTGTGTGTGTGTGTGTCTGTGTGTGTGTGTGGTGATTCTCGAAGCACAAAGGTATTCATTCGTTACCAGATGAGCTGGGATATCCAAAGTTCACATTTTCACAAGGTGAAGTTTTGCTCCTCATGGCAGAAGCATGTGTGGGTGGTTAGACTAGTTAAGGGGGAGGTAGGGAGTGCAGAAGTTGGACAGAAGATAAAGGAAGAGGAGGAAAGGAGGAGTGAAGGGCAAGGCAAAAACTGGGCATATTTTAAAACAACCCAGCTTTGTCATCTAAGGGCCTCACCTGCTCAAGAGTAGCTCTTTGGTGGCGGATTCAAAGCGTAAGTAGGTGTCATCTCATGGTCACTAATAACTCTGTTTGGCACCAGAGTTCTTGGAAGCTGTTATGTTTATGAGATCTGATATCAAATAGTGATTGACAACTCTGCTAATTATCCTTTCTAAAGAGGCCACCTGCAGCTGACTCACACCTGTAACCCTAGCTACTCAGGAGGCTGACACCTAGAGGATCATGGCTTGAAGCCAGCCTGGTGAGAAAAGCCTATGAGACTCCATCTCCAAAATAATCAGTAAAATGACGGACTGGAGACACAGCTCAAATAATAGAGTACGAGCAGTGAGCAAGAAAGACAAATAAAGAAAGCCAGGCATCAGTGACTCACACCTGTAATCCTAGCTACTCAGGAGGCTGAGATCTGATGATCATGATTCCAAGGTAGCCCAGGCAAGAAAGTCCATGAACCTCTTATCAAAAAGCTGAAAATACAGGTGTGGTTCAAATGGTAGAGTGCCAGCCTGCAGGGAGTATGCTAAGAGACAGAGTCCAGGCCCCAGTGCCAGTATAGAAAAAGACAGACAGAAAGGAGGAAGGAAAGAAGGAAGGAAGGAAGGAAGGAAGGAAGGAAGGAAGGAAGGAAGGAAGGAAGGAAAAGCAGAGCAAGAGCTCTAGACTAAGTTCAAGCTGTAGAACCTACACACACACACACACACACACACACACACACACATACATATAAATAAAAGAAACCAAAATCACACTGAGAAATAGAGTGATCCCTGTACTTTTGAACTCCTTAGTGTGACAAATAAAAGGTCTCAGTAACACCAAGCTCAGAGGATGTATAGGGCAGCTGTAATGAGAAGCCCACCTGAGCACCTCCCTGGCTAGCCTGACCATCTGCCCCACCCTCTCGCTCCACCAGCCTTCCAGCCTCTCTTCAGTTATCTTTTCTGGTGTGCTAAAACAAACACCTCATCCCTTGAGCAAGTATTTGTTGTCGTTTGCTTTCTGAATCAGATGCTGCCAGTCAACTGGGCTTTGTTCCTATGGATACCTCGGCACTCCAGAGCCTTTGTAAGGCACTAAACCCACTTTGGTACTACAGTTGTTGCAGAAGCAAAAGTCCCCTCTCCAAAATGGCGTCCTCCATCACTGCCCTTCCTCCCAAGTTGCGTCCTCACCCTCACTACCCTCTTCCTTTGTTCACATCCACTGCCATCATCAGAGCCTCCTTCCCTGAATTGGACCCCGGGGAAAAGCTATTGAGAGAGTATCTTTTTGTTTGTTTCTTATACTCAGTCACACAGCACCATCAGGGACTTCTGATGTGGGAGGAGACTTCTGAGAGTCCAGAGCACAGCACTGGCTCCACTGAGCTCTCTTTACTGAGTCGAATCTGAGGAAATTAAGTTAATCTGATTCTAGGTTTGATCCTCCCAAGGTCTAGTCAGTGACTTTGCTTGCGTTGCCTCCTCCCATGGGTCTCAGTTTTCCCATTTGCCAAGTGAGAAAGCAATCTAGATGACCTCAGTCTCTCTCATTCTAAAATAGTTCTTTTCTACCTGCTACCAGATCCCCAGCATTCATTTACTCTGCCACGCAGTGAGCATTTATTAAGTGCCTGTGAGAAGTAAGGCCCTCCCTGTGTGAGGACATTAATTGAGGACTGGGATGTGCCCCAAAGCAATCTCAGGATAGTGATGACCAGTCTAAGAGCACAGAAACTCCATTTTTGCTTCATTTCTTCTTTATTTCCACGTTGTATTCTAAGGCCAGGACTCCATTCTAGCTCTCCATTCCTGTGGGACAGAGATGTAATGAAGGCATGAAAAAGGGGGAAGTGAAGAGAATATAGTTTACATTAATCACAGTCCCACAGAGGGTCTTTCAACAAAATAACTGACACTTATTCTCACCCACCATGGAGTGGAATGGGTTGGGAACAGACAATGAGTATGTGGATGATGAAGGCTACCCATCATCCTGGGCCCCTAGCAAGGCCATAGGACAAGGCTCAGCAGTGCATAAGAATACAATCAGACCACTAAGAGGACCACACCCGTGGCATCTCCCCTCCTGCAGTTATCTGAAATGGTTTTTCTTCAGGAGCTTTGAGCAAAAAAGAAATCACAAAACTAAATGAATGAAGGTACCAAAATTCATATCCATTCACGTTCTGTGCTATATGTTGGACAATAACATATATGTTTCAAAGTAATAATTTTGTATATATTTTAAATAAAGTATAATTACTGTTTTGGTGTATAAGACCATGTTCTTGCCAAAATTCACCAGCCAGTCAGGCTACCATAAGCACACTTTGCCTGGGTAATTTATAACAATAGAAATGTATGTTTTATAGCTTTGAAGCTGGGAAGTCCAAGATGAAGGTTGGTATCTGTTGGGTAGGTCTCTGCTTCCTACATCAGCTTGTCACTATGTCCTCAAGAGAGCTCCCCCACATCACATTTGTGTGTGTGTGTGTGTGTGTGTGTGTGTGTGTGAGAGAGAGAGAGAGAGAGAGAGAGAGAGAGAGAGAGAGAGAGAGAGGGAGAGAGGGAGAGAGAGAGAGAGAAAGGTACCATGGCTTGAACTCAGGGCTTCGTTCTCACTCAGCTTATTTGCCTACCGCTGATTCTCTACCACCTGGGCCATGCTTCTAGCCCAGATTTTGATAATTATGTTGGAGATGAAGGCTCAAAGACTTTTCTACCTGAGCAAGATTTGAACTGTGATCCTCTGATCTCAACTCTTTTAGTAGCTAACATTATGGGAAAGAGCCACCAATGCCCAGAACAACTTTATTAATAGGATCTTAATATGTTGCCTACCTACCTTAAACTCCCAACAGTCTCTTGAGTGCTGTGATCACAAATGATGCACCACCATGACTGTTTCAAGCATCTTAGATAAGTATGTTCATCCCATCCACAAAGGTGGACCCCTTCATATCCTAATCATTTCCCAAAGGTTCCTCCCCTTTAGCATCATCCCATTAGATCTGAAGTTGAATTTTGGAGATACCAACAATTTGGCTCCTATGTCAAAATGCCTTCAAGACGTTTAGGCCCTATAGGTTAATGGAAATGCTGAAGTTTAACCACAAAGCCAGGCACAGGTGGCTCATGCCTGTAATCCTAGCTACTCAGAAGACTGAAATCTAAGACTCAAAGTTCAAAGCCAGCCTGGCAAGGAAAATCTGTGAAACTCTTATTTCCAAGTTAACCATCAAAAAGCCAGATCAGAAAAAACTAAAGGGTAGCACCCAGGCTCTGACTTCAAGCCCCAGGACCGGTACACACAAAAGAATTAAAGATAGATTCATTATGTCACAATATAAAGACCTTTTCCTCATCCTTGTGTAGATTAATGTTTCAGAATTCAGTAAAGGTAATACCCACTGATGTCAGGAGCATGGATTGGGCTTTAAAAATTAAAAGGCTGACCAATGGTCTCACCTGCCCACCTTCACTTCATTCAAAACTCTGCTGGACTGTGGGCTGGCTCTCAAAGCTGAAAGGAATTGGATGTATGCAGGAGTGCCTAGTAAAAACAGCCTTATGTGCATATCTGCTCTTCTGAGAGTCATTCCATGTCCACAGCAGATACAGGAAATCAGGAAGGATATTGGGAGCTGTTGATTGATTAAACAGATCAAACTGCAGTAGCAAAGACAGCCAATACTACTACAGAGACTATGAGCAAAGCAGATAGATACACATTAAAACTCCAGGGCTGCTGTATGGACTCTCTGTTAACTGGCTGTTCAGGACCCAGCTTCATTCTGTCTAGTTTCCCATCATCCTCTATGGCAGTGTCTTTATAGGATTATGGTCAGTCCAAGCTACAACCACTTCCATGCTCCATTAACATGGCAGGGTGGGGGTGGGGGTGGAGGAGGAGAGTCTCACACATACATCTCACAACACACAACCCACAAGTATGGGGAAGCGTGTGCAAATGACAATTTCATACAAAACTGGTCCTACATAGTTGCATGACCATGCCTATAGGGCTGCAAAGGAGGCTGGGAAATGGAATGACTGTATGCCCAACTGCAACTTGATTTCCCTGGAATAAGATGAAAAAAATAGATTCCCAGCAATGTTTGTGAATGAATTGCATAATTTAAAAAAAAAAAGCAAGAGCTGTGGAAATAGCATAGCCTTGAGTGGGAAAAAAAAAAAAAAAAAGCAAGAGCACAAAGTCCTGAATTCAAACTTCAGTACTGGCACAAAAGAAAATGAAAGAAAGAAAAATCTGTTCTCACATCCAATATAGCTAGGTGGCAGGGGCTCACACCTATAATTCTAGCTACTCAGGAGGCTGAAATATGAAGATCATGGTTCAAAGCCAGCCCAGGCAGAACAGCCTATAAGACTCTCTTCTCCAATTAATCACCAAAATGCCAGAGTGGAGCTGTGGCTCAAGTTGTAAAGCACCAACCTTGAGTTAAAAATCCAAATAAGAAGCCAGGTGCCTGTGGCTCACACATGTAATCCTCGCTGCTCACGAGGCTAAGATCGGAGGATTGAGGTTCAATGCCAGCCCAAGCAGGAAAGACCATGAGACTCTTATCTCCAATTAACCA